ACACACACACACACACACACACACACACACATAGATAGTTAAAATGTAGATAATTTTAAAACAATAAATTGTGAATTACATTTATTTCAGTATCAAAAAAATCAAGATCGCATGAACATGGCATTACTTAGAAATACACAAGGATTACATGCACCATTACGCATAGCAATGGAATTAAAAGCTACTGAGAACATTGGAAGACTTCCATTTTTATCGTCATCTAATGTGATGCGAGATGTTTTACTTGGAAAAGATCAGAGTATAGGGTATTTATGACAGATATATTACTGCATTGACAAATCAATCTGTATTCGACAATTTTTATTCTTTTATATATTATTATTTATAGATTTGATGATATCTTCAATACATCTGAATTCAGGGAACAAATGGGACAACCACATGCCATCGTAGAAAACCATCTTGGAATATTGTAAAGTTTATCTTGCAAAAATTTTGTCTTAATAAAACATAAAAATTCATATAATCTTTTAATAACTATAATTAATATATTAATTCTGTAAGATAAATATATGTATTAGATTTTTTCTTTTTTTTGGAAATATTTTAATAAAATTACCAAATCTTAATATTTAACAAATTCAAAAAATAAAAAATTTGCATTTAATATTATATACTCGACAAGAAAAATATCTGTATATATTCAGTATGATAGAAAAGTATATTTTTTATATACATATTATTTGATTCCTATTGGCTATTGCTAATCTTTAATTAACAAAAGAAAGTACGCGTTTTACTAATAATTATATTATACAACATATAATTTAATGTCAACTTTACTGTAGCTTATAAGTTTTTTTTATTAAACAAACTTTGTAGATTATATAGTATCATACAAATTTCCTAATTGCTATTGTAAAATATGAAATTAATTTACCAATAATTTTTACTCCTAAGGTATAATATTTATAGTATTTTCCAGTCATATGAAGTTTCATTCAGAGATCAAAGATGTCGACGACGTGAGGTGCTCGTATAGGTTATATTATTAATGTGATCACGTTTTTTATTGCTAATTTCAGTTCTTCTCGTGGAAGTTGTGCAAATATTTTTGTTTTGAAAATTTTATAGTAAAACACGTATTGTTTTCCATGTTGTAACTTAAGATGATCGCACCAGAAAATCAAAAGAATTAACGTTTGTGAATCAATTTGAAATAACCTAAATATTCTTCGTACTTTTTTGTACAGTATATATAAACAATTCGTTCTAATTAAGGTTCTAATCAGAACTAATACGAGCTAAGACATACCAGTGGAGATTTGGGTCCGACAGTGAGCCACGTTTCGATCAGTAAAAATTAATAAGAGAATTTCAAAGCGGAATAAATCCTCCACAAAAGTAGAATTGTCTTTTTATAAAATCGTGCAAATCAAATTTGAATAATTTTAGCACGCGATAATAAGACACGTTGACGTACGTTGTACTTGGATCGAACAATCACTCTGACAATTCACATTGACGATCGTAACGATGGAATGTCGAAGTGTCTCAAAAAATGTCTTCAAGGTCTTGGACGGTGGCTTCTGTGGACAATTGTCACGGCATATGAGTGCAAACGTCAATAATGATCCACTCTGGACAGCACGGTTTCTGAAAACCAATGTCGATGCCGTATATGACACGCATATGGATTTTCTACGCGCTGGTGCCGACATTATCGAGACCAACACCTACCAAGCGTCCGTACCCGGCTTGATGAAATATCTAAAAGTGAGTGAACAAGAAAGTTTGGAGTTGCTCAACGTATCCGTAAACGTAGCTAGAAAAGCTGTGAATGACTACATCCGCGAAGCGTGCATTCCCTATGAGTCAAAGCCTATGATCGCTGGATCTTGCGGTCCTTACGGCGCTTATCTACACAATGGGTCTGAATACACGGGCTTCTATGGAAAGAGTATAACCCGACAAGAACTGATAGATTGGCACAGGCCGCGCGTTAAAGCGCTATTAGATGCTGGTGCTGATCTTCTAGCTTTCGAAACTATACCCTGCATCGAGGAAGCGGAAGCCATTTTAGAATTGTTGAAGGAATACCCAGGTGCCCGTGTCTGGCTCTCGTTTTCATGCCGAGATGGTCATTTCATGTCGGATGGTAGCGGATTCCAAAATACAGCTGTGTGCTGTTACCGCACCTTGCCATCGCAGATCGTCGCGGTTGGTGTAAATTGTATCGATCCGAAGTACGTGACTCCCTTACTGAAGGGTCTCAATGAGAACACGTCATCGGAAAAGGATTTCATTCCTCTGATAGTGTATCCCAATAGAGGTGGCAGCTATTCCGCAAGCGGCGAATGGATCGCGGTCGAAGAGGATCAATCTCTGAATCTGCCCATATCGGAATGGTTGGACCTAGGAGTTCGTTACATCGGCGGTTGCTGCAAGATCTTCGCTGATGACATTAAGCTAATTCGATCGGAAGTGAATCGACATTCGCTTCAGAAAAAAATTCTGAACAAGTGATAGTAGCGATATTCAAATATATTTGTTATTGTTATTGATATACATATACGCGCTGGTTAAAACCGTCTGAGTGTATGCGTCATCCATTTTATTGAACACAATGATTTTTATACTAATTTCTCGTATATATTACCGATATTATACCATACAGCCCGAATCACATTTTACATAAAAAAAAAAAACAAAAAAAATTAGAAAATTATAGTTTCGTTTCGACTATTTACATAACAATAAAAGCTTTATGTTGTTTACTTTACTCAGATGGTTTCAATCGGTCGTATATGTATGTCTCTTTACTTTTTATTTTGACATGAAAAAAAGGTGCTATATAATCTTTTACTTTAAACAACATGAAATTACTATTCATTGAGATACATATATGTAAAAAATAATCTATATACATATTTCTATCTTTAATATTGGCTGCGTTCAGCAGACTCAACAGTTTTGCAACCGTTTTATGATTCGTCCCGCTGATTGGATTATAATTTTAGATCTAAAGGAATAGTCCTATCTCAGCAAAGAATCATAAAA